TATTTATAGGCAATTTTGGTGTAAAAAGACATAAAGGCCCATTAGTTGGAATTGGATTGAAAAGTTTGGATTTACTTGGAGTCTAATGGAATAGGGAGTGATTAGGGAACTTAATCATGTGATTAGATAATGTTTACTTGGCCTCTAGTCTGAATGGAACTAGTGTTGGGAACACAACCGTAGATTTAAGGGTACTAGGTACTAGAGCTTGTAGAATATCATAATTACAAGTCTTGAAAATTGCTCCTTGACATTCTCCTAGGTTGCCCGGCCATGGGGAATTTTTTATTCAATATATAGGTACTAGGGACATATTCCCAATATATATATATATATATATAGATCCTCAAATTGATTTGGTGGTACAATAGTATAAAAGGTACATGTACTAGTTTTGGAGCAAATCTTGAAATTAATAAAAGAAGTGAGGGCTTGGAATAAAACTTATGTTTTGGAACCTCATTTATGTAGAATTAAATTAAATTAAGCTAAGGAAACTAAGTCGGCTAGGATATCCGTGTTTCGATAAAAATAAAAATAAAAAATTGCTAACCGGCAAGATCCGAAATAATTCAAGAAACTGAGTGGCTTTAAGGAAATAATGCAAACATAAGGGTTTTTAAAAAGAATATAATTTTTTTTTTCAGGGGCTTCACAACCTATCCTCCTTAAAACAATTTCATCCCCGAAATTTAACTATATACTGCCTTCGAAAAGTTCGGGGTAGTTTGCCTTCACCCAATCCTGGCATTCCCAAGTAGATTCCTCAATTCCCCGATAACGCCATAGCACTTTTACCAAGTGAACCGTTTTGCCTCTAAGGTTCTTCTCTAGACTATCTTGTATTGCTACCGGTCATTCTTTAAATGTAACATCTTTGTCAAGACCGATTTCTTCCCATTTGAGGACGTGTGACGGGTCGGCGATATATTTCCTCAACATAGATACATGAAAGACATTGTGTCTCCCTGCTAACTATGGGGGCAGAGCTAGTCCGTGTGCCACTTCGCCCCCCCCCTTTCCAATACCTCAAAAGGCCCAATATATCGTAGTGATAGCTTCCCCTTTCTCCTAAAACGTAGGACTCCGCGCGTGGGTTGCACCTTTAGGAACACGTGGCTACCTACTTTAAACATCAATGGCCTTCTCCTCCTATCTACATAATTCTTTTGACGGTCTCGAGCAGTCTTTAACCATTTTCGGATCAATTTGACCTTCTCAGTAGTTTCTAGAACAAGTTCGGGTCCTATTAGATTTGCATCGCTCACTTCAGTCCAACAAATCAGTGATCTGCAAGGTCGTCCATATAATGCTTCAAAAAGTGCCATACCAATGCTAGCTTGAAAGCTGTTGTTATAGGCTAATTCAATTAAAGGTAGGTGCCGTTCCCAACTTCCTTGAAAATCCATTGCACAAGCTCTCAACATATCTTCGAGTGTCTGGATGGTGCGTTCAGATTGTCCATCTATTTGCGGATGAAAAGCGGTGCTAAAACATAACTCAGTACCAAGAGCTTCTTGCAGAATTCCTCAAAATCGGGAGGTGAACCATGGGTCACGATCTGACACAATAGATACCGAAATTCCATGTAGTCGAATGATCTCCCCAATGTGGAGCCTGAACATAGGCTTTAGAGTGTCGGTTATCTTATAGGGTAAGAAATGTGCTGACTTGGTGAGGAGATCTACTATTACCTATATAGTATCACGCCCTCTAGGTGTCTTAGGCAACCCTATCACAAAGTCCATCATCACGTACTCCCACTTCCATTCGGCTATTGGTAGAGGTTGCAACATTCCCCCTAGTTTTTGATGTTCCACCTTCACTTGTTGGCATGTTAGACATTTTGCTACAAATTTAGTCACCTCCTTTTTCATTCCATTCCACCAATACTGCCTCTTCAAATCTTGATACATTTTAGTCCCTCCTGGACGTACTGCAAATGCAGAATGATGACATTCGTTACGTACCTTTTCTCTAAGCAACTTGTCACTTGGTACAAACAATCTACCTTGGTATCTTAAACTCCCATCGGGGTGAATTACCCAATCGGGCATTGGTTCTCTTGATTCCAGACGTCCCTTGACGTACGCTACTTCTTGATCTTGCTTCTGGGCCTTCATGACCTCACTCATCAACTTAGGCATCACCTTCGGTGCACTAAGGTATGCCTTTGTATCTTGAGATTCTACTTGGATCCTGAATTCATTGAGTATCTTAACCATATCCTATTCTTTGACGGAGATCTTAGCCATCATCCCTCTCCTCTTGCGACTTAGAGCATCTGCTACTACATTGGCCTTACCGAGATGATATGAGAGAGTGAACTGGAAATCCTCAAGATACTCCATCCATCGCCTCTGTCTCAAGTTAAGGTCCTTTTGTGTAAACAGATACTTCAAACTCTTGTGATCTATGAAAATCTCAAATTGTTCCCCATACAGGTAATGTCACCATTGCTTTAGGGAAAAAACTTCGGCCGCTAACTCCAAGTCATGTGTTGGGTAGTTACGCTCATGAGGTTTCAACTGCCTGGATCCATACGCGACTACCTTTCCATTTTGCATGAGCACGCAACCTAACCCTTCTTTAAATGCATCGCAATACATAGTGTACCACACTTCTCGTTCTGCGATGGTCAAAATTAGTGCACTAGTTAACCACTTCTTTAGCTCTTGAAAGGATTTTTCGCAAGCATGGTCCCACTCATACTTTACTCCTTTTTGCATCAAACGAGTCATTGGTCTAGTTAGTTTGGAGAAATCTTGGATGAACCTCCGGTAATAATCGTCCAATCCTAAGAAACTGCGGGTTTCTGACATGGTTTTCGGTTGTCTCCAATCTAATACTGCCTCCACCTTGGTTGGATCCACCGCAATCCCATTCTCCGACACTACATGCCCTAAGAATTTCACTTTATTCAACCAGAACTCACATTTGCTTGCCTTGGCATATAGCCGATTATCCCTAAGAACTTAAAGGACAATCCTTAAATGTTGCCTATGCTCTTCTTCAGACCTTGAATATACCATGATGTCATCAATGAACACTACTACAAACTAGTCAAGATATGGTCTAAAAATCTTATTCATTAGGCTCATTAATACTGCTGGTGCATTGGTTAGTTCGAAGGGCATTACTACAAACTCATAGTGGCCATATCTAGTACGAAAGGCAGTTTTTGGTATATCCTCCTCCTTGACTTGTAGTTGATGGTAACCTGACCTGAGATTGATCTTTGAATAGCACCTTGAGCCTCTAAGTTGGTCAAAAAGGCCATCAATCCTTGGGAGTGGGTATCGGTTCTTAATCATGACTCAATTGAGTTGACGGTAATCGATGCATAGCCTTAACGACCCATCCTTCTTTTTAGCAAACAACACGGGTGCTCCCCATGGTGAAGTACTTGGCCTAATGAATCCTTTTTCGAGCAACTCCTATAGTTGTGTCTTTAATTCTCATAGTTCTGCTGGTGCCATGCGATACGGGGCCATGGATGTTGGGGTAGTTCCAGGTTGTAGTTCAATACTAAAGTCTACCTCTTGGGTTGGTGGCAATCCCGATAATTTTGTAGGAAATACATCTGCATATTCGCATACTACGCACGGAAGTTCTAATCCTTGTTGGCTCTCCTCATTTAGAATCAAACTTGCTATCCTACCCGCAAGTTGATCGCACCACTACGTCCTACGTTTCGTTGAAGTCATGGAGCCTTGTCTATCTCCCTTAAACTAGAAACGCGTTCTGTCAAGCGTGTGAGCTACCACTTTCCTTTGACGACGGTCGATCACCGCTCGGTGGGTAGACAACCAGTCCATGCCCAAAATGATATTGAAGTCTGACATTTCCATGACACAAAGGTCACAAGTTAAGCGTAGGTTCGACATTCCTATCTTACAATCCTTATAGATCAATCTTATCCGAACGCATCCTCCCATAGGTGACATTACATTTAAGGCAGTTTCTAAGGGTTCTCCTAGAAGTCCTAATGATTTAGCACAAGCAGAGGATATAAAAGAATGTGATGCACCAGTATCAAATAAAACATGCACCCAAGAATTGTATAGCACTAAATTACCCTCAATTACAAACGGGTCTGCTTCTTCCTCTTGCAAACAAAGACTCTGCTGGTTGCCTTCTGGTTGCCACTGGTCTTGGCATTCTGAGTTCCCCTACTCTTCTGGTGTTGCTGCCCGGTAGATCCTATCTTGTTCGTCCAAGGCTTTTGCCCACCTAATGCCTGGATATTTGCTCCGGAACCTCCTTCTTGGTACCCAGATGGAGGGAGTTGAGGGCATTCACTCTTTTTGTGCCCTAATTGTTGGCAATGAAAGCACTAGAGTTGTCCTGCTGGCCTTTGTTGATAGCCTCCCCTCTAGATTTGTTGCTGTCATTGCTGTTATGGTTATGGTCTGGAGTTTGTAGGAAATACATCTGCATATTCACATACTACGCACGGAAGTTCTAATCCTTGTTGGCTCTCCTCATTTAGAATCAAACTTGCTATCCTACCCGCAAGTTGATTGCACCACTACGTCCTACGTTTCGTTGAAGTCATGGAGCCTTGTCTATCTCCCTTAAACTGGAAACGCGTTCTGTCAAGCGTGTGAGCTACCACTTTCCTTTGACGATGGTCGATCACCGCTCGGTGGGCAGACAACCAATCCATGCCCAAAATGATATTGAAGTCTGACATTTCCATGACACAAAGGTCGCAAGTTAAGCGTAGGGTCGACATTCCTATTTTACAGTCCTTATAGATCAATCCTACCCGAACACATCCTCCCATAAGTGACATTACAATTAAGGCAGTTTCTAAAGGTTCACATAGAAGTTCTAATGACTTAGCACAAGCAGAGTATATAAAGGAATGTGATGCACCAGTATCAAATAAAGAATGCACCCAAGAATTGTATAGTACTAAATTACCCTCAATTATAGACGGGTCCGCTTCTTCCTCTTGCAAGGCAAAGACTCTGCCAGTTGCCTTCTGGTTGCCACTAGTCTTGGCGTTCTGAGTTCCCCCACTTTTCTGGCATTCTGAGTTCCCCTACTCTTCTGGTAGATCCTGTCTTGTTTGTCAAAGGCTTCTGCCTAGCTAATGCCTGGGTATTTTCCCTAGAACCTCCTCCTTGGTATCCGGATGGAGGGAGTTGGGGGCATTCGCTCTTTTTGTGCCCCAATTGTTGGCAATGAAAGTATTGGAGATGTCTTGCTGGCCTTGTCTGATAGCCTTCTTTCTGGATCTGTTGCTGTGGTCTAGAGTAGGGCTTTGAGGCCATGTTTCCTTTCTGGTTCCTCTGAGGTCCAATATATGTTTGACTCCCTCTCCGCTTGTTCCAAGCCTTTCTAGCATCGGTTACTTCCCTTTCGGGCTCTAATACCGTTTCCAACACCTCGGCATATGAGTGGAGTCGTGGCAGAAGAACTTTTCCTCTGATTGTAAGGTCCAACCCCCACTCAAACATCCTTCCTTTCCCTTCATCATTTGCTACATATCTAGTTGCGGAAAGGGCTAACTCTTCAAATTTTGCAGCATACTGGGTCATGGTCATATTCCCCTGTTCTAGGTTTTGGAATTCCTTGACTTGCTCTCGGTAGACCGTATTTGCGAAATATTTATTTAGGAATAGTTCCCTAAACTGGTTCCATGACAGACTAGCTACGTCACGAGTATTCTTGATTAACTCGCACCAGTGGTAGGCCTCATCATCAAGCTCGAATACTGCCAAAGCTCTTCTATCAGCGACTTCAGTTATGCCCATGTTGTCTAGCATTTTCTCTATCTGCCGAAACCAATTTTCAGCTACCTTTGGGTCCGGTACACCTGCGAACTTTAGGGGCCTCTGTTTTCGAAATTCGAAAAAGAGTCGAGTCCTCTCATTCTGCCGATTGTTCCTTAATTGCCCTAGTTCTTCCAAAATTTCATGACCTAGGTTATTAGGGATATCAGCCCTTGTGGGTACGGGTTTGTGTTGATTTCTAGGACGGTTCCGTGCATTGTTACTGGTTTCTGTATAGCCATTAGCTCACGTGTCCACCATTCTGTTCATGGCACGTGATGAGTTGGTTTCCAGTTTTAGAGAATCTTACTACTTAGATTTGAAATTCAGGTTCAGTTTCCTTAGGGTGTACTAAAGCAAGTAACATTCAATAACATAGATTAACACATCATTCATATATTATAATAGGCATCATTACAAAAGGGCTCCCAAATCGGAGTTACATTCAAAGCGCATCTACGCAATACGAAGTTCAAGCTATCTTATTCTAAGGATCCCCATCAGCAGATCTTACAAAAGTCTAGTTTTACTATCCCTCGAACTAGTTCTCGTTTCCCGACCAATCAAAGTCTTCTTCTGGGTCTTCATCAACGGAGTCAGTTGCTTGCTCCGGAGAGCGGGGAGTGTACATTGGCGAGGGGGGATTGTGTTCAGATGATACCTCTTTAGGGTAGGCTTGGGTTACCCCTTGCTGTTCGGGTGGCTGCTCCATATCCATTGGTTGAATGTCGCCTGACCCCTGATAATAGGATTCGTAGCTTTCAGCCTGAGTCGGTGGTCGGTGGTATGCTATGGTGGTCAAAGCTCGGTGTATCAAGGAGTCCATCCTCTGATCATCTTGCTCCATTCGGATAGTCTTCTTCGCTGCCCGACTTAAAAATTGTAGGCAAAGCCGTACCAGGGACCTCTTCTGCTCCCTCGTATAGCGGGAGTACTCCGTTTCCACCTTACGTATCTCTGTTATGATCACTTCCTCGGTGGCACTCACACAACGTCAGTGGCTAAAGTAGGGGCTGACAGACATGACCCTCCTTCCTTGCATACGGAAAGTGCCCCAAGAGTCAAGACTGACGCCGCGTCTTGGATAGCCTCCCGATGACATCCAAAGGTGGAAAATGATTTTTATATTGTTAGTCTTCTTTAAATAAAATAGCATGATAAAATAAAATAAGATAAATGGGTAAGAGCTTCTAGAATCGTATATTGGGTTGCGTGGGCTAAGGGTTAAACCTAGGCTCTAATACCAAATTGTGATGCCCCAAATCTACACTATTGGTTGTAGTCAAGGGAGAGTCACCAATGAGTCCTATGGTCAACAACCAAGTAAGATCCCAGATCGCCGGAGGAGTCAAATTAGCCTCCCTTCTAAGTCCCGCTTTCTTAGGCAGCGTGCTACCCTTTTGACAGATCTTAAAAGGTATTGACACAAGGTCTTATAAGCAACGATAAGGTTTATATATATATATATATTAGAATATAAGTACATAACAACCACGAATATCCTTAATTTCAAAAGCTTGTTCCATTACATTACATCCCAAAAGAAAATTTAAATCTTCATATGAGCCTTACAAAATATCAAAATGGAAATTTCTAACTTTTCTAAGATAGCCAAAAGTCTTCGAAGTTTCAGGCTCGTCGTGTCCAGTTATAAGCTCCTCTTCGGCACCTGGCATGACACGCCGTGAGCTTTGAATACACAGTAAACGCACACACACCCTGTCCCTTTTTTCCCAGTCCAATACACAATCACAAATATGACAGCAAGTAATAAATCATGATACTCAATTAAATAAATAAAGGGTTACGAGGTTAGATGTTAGTAAACTAGAAATCCCCCAAAGAGATTTCGTCCTCCCAGCCACAAGAATCGGACGCGGATTATTCGGCATGCTCCCTCTTTTGCTGCTTTGTGGCAGAACTAACCTCGGATGCCTACTAATGGTTATATACCGTGTAGCACCAACCGCATGGCCTCAAAAGAGACGGTAATAATGGGCCTTCCTCAAATCCCTCCTCACACCAAATACCTAGGGTCTGAATATAGCCGCTCCGTTCAAGGGTTCCGAAAACCACTTGCGCAAGACTTTAACTTCCAAATAGGGAATGCATCCCAACAATCCATACATCACATATTATCATCTTTTCATTACTCAAGTGATCGAAAACCCAATACCATTTCAATTAAGTTTTCTGTCGAGTTAAATGTTTTAAATCAAGGTTAGACCAACTTAACAAGACATTAATATCCATGTAAGCATGCATCATTAAAATGAACAAGATAAGGAGCGTCACCATAACACATGCAATATCATGCCAAGACATGATCATAAGCTAATAAGCATATTCATGAACACAAGAGCATAAAGCACCCATGCACAACAAAATTTCAAAATTCAATATCATTTAAAGATTAAAATAAAAAGGGCTATTTTAGATTTTTATCGGACTCGGCCATCCTATGGTTCGTATAGAATTTAATCTAGTTTCCATAACATATTTCGGAAATAGGATAGCTTTTCTAGATTTTTAGTTATTTACGAAACACTCCAGCGATGTCCAGATTCGTCGACCGTTACAAAAATTTAATTTTCTTACAAACCGCTCACTGTTTTTCAATGAAAAAAATTTTAGTTGAAAAATAACTCCTTAAGGAAGATTTTGAAATAAAATGGAAGTCCAAAATAATTTTCTACATTTTTCTAGAAATTTTGAAAGTTGGCTGTGAAAACAGATTTTTATGGCACAATACCCAAAACAAGAAGATCTGTGAGAGAGGCATCCACTAAGGGAAAATTTTTATTTCTTTTGTGATGAAAACATGCTAAATAATATATATTAAACTCAGAAAATTTTCTTGAAGGTGTGCCTTTGGAAAGTTTGTGAGATTGGTATGAAAAAGATAGTTTTGTACTGAAATGAGGGGAACTACAGGAGAGGTAGAATCATGGCTCAACTCTTATCATTTTTAACAGAAGGAAATCATTAATAACACATCTGAAAACAATAGGTAGATCCCTTAAGAACATGTATTTGACAAAGGAAAATAAAAGAGAGAGTTGTGTTGTAGCTTACTTGCTAGGGTTGAACAAGATTGCTCTCCTCTTCCTTTCTCTCCCTCTCAAGACTTCTCTCTTGCTCTCCTTTCTCTCCTCTAGGCCGAATGAATGTGAGTGTGTGTTTTTTGTGTATGCCATGCTAGGGGGTGGTTGTATTTATAGGCAATTTTGGTGTAAAAAGACATAAAGGCCCACTAGTTGGAATTGGATTGAAAAATTTGGATTTACATGGAGTCTAATGGAATAGGGAGTGATTAAGGAACTTAATCTTGTGATTTGACAATATTTAGTTGGCCTCTAGTTGGAATGGAACTAGTGTTGGGAACACAACCGTAGATTTAAGGGTAATACGTACTAGAGCTTCTAGAATATCATAATTACAAGTCTTGAAAATTGGTCCCTCACATTCTCCTAGGTTGGCCGGCCATGGGGAAGGGAAATGGGTTATTTTTTATTCAATATATAGGTACTAGGGACATATTCCCAATATATATATATATATATAGATCCTCAAATTGATTTGGTGGGACAATAGTATAAAAGGTACATGTACTAGTTTTGGGGCAAATCTTGAAATTAATAAAAGAAGTGAGGGCTTGGAATAAAACCTATGTTTTGGAACCTTATTTATGTAGAATTAAATTAAATTAAGCTAAGGAACCTAATTCGGCTAGGATATCCCTGTTTCGATAAAAAAAAAATGCTAACCGGCAAGATCCGAAATAATTCAAGAAACTGAGGGGCTTTAAAGAAATAATTCAAACACAAGGGTTTTTAAAGAGAATACATTTTTTTTTTCCAGAGGCTTCACATAAACTCATGTCCATTTGAGCCCTTTGGTGAGATTGCCCTGATGACGTCAATTTCCCAGACTAAGAAAGGCCATGGTGAAGTCATGTTATAAAGCTTTGACAGCGTGATGTTCATGTGATTGGCATGAATATGACATTTGTGGTATCGCCGAACAAAGTTAATACAATCCTCCTCCATAGTTGACCAATAATAGCCCTGCCTAAGCATCTTCCTAGCCAGCATCACACCATTCATGTGTGCTCCACACTCTCCTCCATGGATGGCTTCTATGAGATGTTTTGACTCTTTTTCTTCAATGCAAAGCTTGTACATTCCTAGATGGCCTCTCTTATAGAACTTAGATGATGAACTGAATGGCCAAACGCCATATTTCCCACTTATCTTTGGCATTTGCCCCTAGTGGATACATGTCATTCTCCAGGAAGTTCCAAATGTCGTAATACCAAGGGTTCTTGTCTTCAGCCTCATCTATTGCAGCTATCATCTCATAAGCAGGCGTATATTTTTGTTCAATCATGATCGGATGCATCTTAACCCCAAGTGGTATGCCTAACATGGAGGATAGAGTTGCCAACGCATCAACGAACCAGTTGTTCTCTCTCAGTAAATGTGTAAATTTTAGTTTTTCAAACCTTGGAGTCAAAATGTCTAGGGTCTGATGATAAACCTTCATTTTCTCTTCCTTGACTTTCCAGTCTTCATTGGCTTGAGAAACAACTAGGTTTGAGTCTCCAATGACGTCCAACTTTCTTGCCCCTAGTTCTAGGGCAACTTCCAATCCAGCGATACACGCCTCGTATTCTGCTTCATTATTGAACACTTTGAACTGGAGTTTGATGGCTAGGGGTATATGGGAATCATTGGGTGCTATCAGCAACGCGCCTATCCTATAACCGTACTTATTAGCTACTTCATCAAAGTTCATTGTCCATGTTTGCTCTTCTACCTGCAGAATCTCCTTATCTGGGAATAGGTACTCTACTGCTTCATCTCCTTCCATAGGGTGGTCTGCCAAAAATTCTGCTACTGCTCTCCCTTTGACGGACTTGCGAGTGATGTACTTGAGATAGAACTCAGAAAAAAGAAGAAACCAACAAGCTAGCCTCCCTA